CTTATTCAAGACGATCTTCAGGCAATGCTTGAAGATCGTCTTGAATAAAGCGTGAAACTTGAGTAGCAATAATTAATTTTAAGATATAAATATATCTTGCTCTACTATAATACTAGTGTTGAGCACTTTATTATCTACTACAACAAAACAAGTTATATATATATATATATATATATATATATATATATATATATATATATATATATATATATATATATATATATATATATATATATATATATATAGTTTTTGTTTTAGCTCAAAAAACCACAACAGTCTGTTTCATTCGTATAGGACTCATCAGGTGGTGAATAATTTCGAAATTGTAGGTTGCTTTTATGCTATCGAAAGAATGTGCGGAATGCGTGTAGGCGAAACAATGCTTAGGTGAAACAATGCATGCTTTGGTCATTAGGTTTTGTTAACGACCTTGTTTACTCGAAACCGGTTTTTGTGACGACATTTGCCGAAAATTTCGCTTCTTTTATTGAGTAAATTGTCTTTGTTTATGTCTTTCAAAATGCAAAATTTTTCTTCCAAACATAAATTGCAGCGTTTTGATCCCCTGTGTACGAAATAGCGTGTTTTAAAATTGACCATTTGATGGTATAATCCTGATTGTTTTCTTTTAATTTCCAAATATGTTTCGAAAGTTCCGTTTTGTTTGAGTCTTTTTTATGACGAAAAGATGAAGTGTGGTTAGCGTAACGTTCCTTAAATGTAGTCGCTGTCATACCAATGTAGTGTTCAGTGTCGTTCGTGTTGTTCGTTGTCACTGTGGCTTTGTAAATAATGTTGTTGGTCATACATTGTTTCGGTAGTGGGCAAGTGTTTTTGTTGTCGCAGTTACAGTTGTCAGTTTCCGTATTCTGTGATTTACTGTTCCTAATTATATGTGCGTTGTGTTTGGTGATTATAGACTTAACGTTGTTCATGCAACTGTAGCTTACTTTTAAAGTGTTTCTGTTGAAAATCTTGTGTAGTTTGTTTTGTAGTGGGAAGTGTCTGTCAATTAAACTTAAGAATTCCTGTCCTATATGTTCGTGTTAACACTCTTACTAAATGGTGGGTTGAACCAAATTATGTTGCGTTGCCTATTCCTACGTGTCCGTTGCGGTGCATCCTGAGTGTACGTAAATTCGTGATCAAAGTTACTATGTCTAAGAGCGTGTTCTGGTAAATAGGTGTAGATTCCTTAAATGTTTGTTCGTCCGATGAGAGAAGTGCATTGCGTTTGTTGATTGCCGTAGGTAATTGTCTTGTAATGCTTGGTGGATGGTTTGAGTGTCTGTTGATGTACAATGGATCGTCATTGGGTTTCCTGTATGGTTTGTGTATTGCGTTGATCAGGTCGAAAGTAACATCTAAAAAATTTACAACGTTCAACTTTACTTCGGCGGTAATTTTCAGGTAAAATTGCTCGAAAATTTTGTGTAGCTCTTTTCTAATTTTGTCTAGTAAACGGGCGGATTTGCTTTTTATAATAGCCAAACCATCATCTCTGTAAAGGCCGATGTTTTCCTTGCCAAACCTCTTACTTAAGTGATTTAAAATGAAAAGGCCTACCAGCTCACAAATTTCAGGGCCGTCGAAACTACCCATAGTTACGTCAAATAAACTGTTGCGTCCGTCTTTTTTTGTCCACAATTTGCCGTTGCCGAAAAGTAGATATTTTCTTGCGTGTTTTATTATTGAAATATCGTTTTCGGTGATAGTATATATAGTCAAATCCGAAGCCGGCCAGGCCAATGCTTCATTTAAAAGTTTTTCGGAAGTGGATGGGTAAAAATCCACAATGTCAAATGAAATAAAACTGTGCTTGTCTTTATCGTTTATCATTGCCAAACCATGAAATTACTTGTTGCGTATTTCTCCATTGATTTGAATTTAGTTTTTGTCTCAAATTGGAATTGATTTTATCTAAAATAACCTTACTTAGTTTTCCGGATTCGCTTTTTGCGGGATTAATTAGTCGGCATTTTGGATTGTTTTCGAAATTTTCTTTGTGGTCTTTTAAAGATATAAATGCTTCGCGTTTTTTCATTCGTTCAATTCTGTCGCCAATTCCTAACCTACTCGAAATTTCTTTCAATTCGGAGTTAATTTCATCTATGAAGTCCTCTGATCCATGTTTGTACGTTTTCGTGATGTTGTCATGTAAGAGTTCGTTGCATGTGTTCAGTGACGTTTCGTAATTGTTTCTAGTTTTGTCCGCGAAAATGAAAATGTGCATGGGGGATGAATTAATTTTCTTCAAATCGTTAGCCAAAGATGTTTGAAATTGGTCTTTAGAACGCCGAACGCTACAGAACGCTCTTAGACATAGTAACTTTGATCACGAATTTACGTACACTCAGGATGCACCGCAACGGACACGTAGGAATAGGCAACGTTGGTTCAACCCACCATTTAGTAAGAGTGTTAACACGAACATAGGACGGGAATTCTTAAGTTTAATTGACAAACACATCAGCACAAACTACACAAGATTTTCAACAGAAACACTTTAAAAGTAAGCTACAGTTGCATGAACAACGTTAAGTCTATAATCACCAAACACAACGCACATATAATTAGGAACAGTCAATCACAGAACACGGAAACTGACAACTGTAACTGCGACAACAAAAACACTTGCCCACTACCGAAACAATGTGTGACCAACAACATTATTTACAAAGCCACAGTCACAACGAACAACACGAACGACACTAAACACTACATTGGTATGACAGCGACTACATTTAAGGAACGTTACGCTAACCACACTTCATCTTTTCGTCATAAAAAAGACTCAAACATTGTTTTGATCAGATAAGTTTGTAATTGCGAACTTGGGACTGGGAATAGATTTTCCCGCCAAAAGAAAACATTAGAATAATTAATTAGTTTTGGTATGCATGCTAGCTTGTAGGTTGAAATTTATATCTCCGTTGAGAACTGTTTGGACTGGTTTATTCTCCGTTGAGAACTGTGGAAGCTGTCTCCGGCGAGACATATATACATGACTTGGACTTATGAGAGCCCATAGTGTAAGTACGTTAAATAATGCGTCATTTGGCCTGTTGTAATGTGGGATTAGGGGTAATTATTAAAGTAAATTCATATTTTGTTCGTAGGTTCGAAACCTTATTACGATTACTGTTTACGACATTGTGTGCCTCATTTAAATTGACGAAACATTTCGAACACTGGAAATTCAAAGTCCTTGTATCAAAGTAGCAAGAAAGTGAGTAAACAACGTTTGAAAGCATTTTAAAGAAATATATTAAACGAACTATATACACTTGGAATTTTAGTAAACATGTGAGTGATATCCGGCGAATTTTCGAGTGACTTCCGGTCTGTGCTTCCAGTTGACGAAAAATATTTCAAGTGATTCCGTTCAAAAATTGGCGCACAGTCATGGTTCTGGAGGTAGCAGAGGCTAAATTGGCTCGAACTTCGGGTAAACGCGTATTTAATCGGAACGTCAAGAAATTAGTCGACTCTATTAACTCTAAAGATACGGCTGCATTAATCGAGAGTAGATTTAAAGATTTGAAGCAGCTCTGGGATGACGTCCAACGGAAGCACGAAGGGTATATAGGATCGCTGGAAAATTCGAAGACGACTTATGATGTTGAGCAACAGGATGGATGGATTGATGAAATGGATAAAGTTTATGATGACGTGTTACGGCAAAAGTTGGCATACTTTGAGGCCGTAGAAGAGGATCAAAGGGAAATCGAACGGCAACAAGAACAAATTTCTAAAGAGAAGGAAGATCAAATTCGTAAGAAAGAGGGCGATAAAGCTATTTTCGAGCTGAACAAGCCCGCAAAGTTGAAGAAATCGCATTTAGACAAGAGGTGGAAAATCGAGAAGAGGCATTAGCTGCAGAGATAGACAAACCCAATCCGGCAGCATCAATGCTTGAAACGGCAAGAACTGAGCTAAAAAGACAACTTGAAGAGTGTAAAAGGGTTAATGGTGAATATGTTCTGCTACTTGATGCTGAGACAGCTGGTGATGAGATAGCTTGGTTCACGAGTCTCCAAAAGATTTATTCGCAAATATCTAAAAAAATCGGCGACGTTATTCAACGGAAAAGTGATACCAAAGGTAAAGCAATGAGAGGAAGCACAATGAAACTAGAAAGAATGAAATTACCCCAATTCAGTGGAAATATTCGAGACTACCCTCGTTTTCGATCAGATTTTGAAAAACAAATCCTACCAGAGTTGGAATCTGGAAAAGTTGCATATGTCCTCAAATCGTGTCTCGAAGGTGAAGCATTTGATGCCATCTACAACTTAGATGATGATGTAACGAAAATGTGGAAGCGATTAGATGAGAAATATGGTCTGCCATCAAAATTAGTCGATGTTGTCGTATATGATATTAAGAATATAAAGCACTTACAGGAAGGAGATGATCAATCATTTCTAGAGCTTATAAATACGGTTGAGAAAGGCTATCAATATCTAGCCAGAATCAATATGGAATCTGAAGTATCCAATAGTGGAACAGTCAGTTTAATCGAAGAACGATTGCCTCGTGACATTAAGCGGGAATGGTCTAGAGAAGTCAACAGATCAACCAGCAAAGTAGAATAGAAAAATAAGTTCCCGTATCTTCTCCAATTCCTTCAAGAACAAAGAAAGATTATAGAATACGAGTCATCAGAGCTGAGGACTGGAGGGGATCATGCTCGCAAAGGTCGTGTCCACATGATTGACCGTGATGGAAATTTTATTGAAGACAAAGAAGCTACAAAGACGACCAGGTGCTTAGTTCACAGCTCGAGCACGCATAATACGGCCGATTGTAGAGTATATCAAGAGATGGCGCCTGAAGGGAAAGTCCAGTTGTTAAAGGAAAAGCGAGCTTGCTGGTCATGCCTCAAGATTGGTCACCGCTCTATTGACTGCAGACAACGCAAGAAATGCAACAGTGATGATTGTTCAAAATATCACCATGATTCCTTACACGTAGCCCACGTTCAAGGGGTTGCATTCCATATACCATATTTTTCCCGGCAAAATTCTGATGCAGATCGAAAGGAATCGGGAACTTGCTTGCTGCAGGTGATGAAAATAAAATCAGCTGTCAATACTGCTCCTTTAAATGTGCTGTGGGACGGTGGTGCAACCATTAGTCTGATCACCTTTGCTAAAGCACGTGAGCTAAGTTTGGATGGAGAGGAAATTAGGCTGTCGGTTGTCAAAGTTGGCGGTGTCAAGGAAAAGATGAGATCATCAGTATACAAACTTCCCTTAATCGATGAATCAGGTGAGACTGTCAACTTCCGCGTTTATGGAATTGATCGGATATCCTCCTCTATGGAGGGAATTAACCTCAACGGCGTGATGCATCTGTTCCAAAACATAAACAAGCAGGAGATTCAGCGACCAAATTGGGAAATAGATGTGTTGATTGGTTATGAATATGCAGGTTATCATCCTGAACGGGAGCAATCTTCTGGGCATTTACTTCTGTTGAAAAACCGATTCGGTCGTTGTCTGGGTGGGTCTCACACCAGTATGGCAGAGAACACGCTTAAGCTTATCCAGCATGCTACAGTTCACCATGTTGCGAGGATAAACATTGAAAAAATTTTCGATACTGAATCTCTAGGCATTGAACGCTCCCCGAGATGTGGAAGTTGTCGCTGTGGACGGTGCCCAATTGGTGGGAAAAGCTTCACATTGAAGGAGGAGCGGGAATTAAATTTGATTGAGGAAGGATTGACACATGAAGGCGATCATTGGGTTGCGCGATACCCTTGGATTAGGAGCCCGGATGATCTGCCAAACAACAAAGAAGCAGCTTTGAGAATGCTTGGGTCTACGGAAAAGAGGTTGCAGAAGAACAAACCGCTTCTGGAAACGTACAAGGAGCAGATTCAGGATATGGTACAGCGAGGTGTTGCAAGGAAACTCACACAAGCAGAAATTGAAAACTATGACGGCCCAGTATATTACCTAAGCCACCACGAGGTACTTAAACCAGAATCCACATCCACGCCTTGTCGAATAGTCTTCAATTCGTCAGCGAAGTTTCAGGGACATTCACTAAATAACTACTGGGCTAAGGGACCAGATCTTATGAACAACCTGCTCGGCATACTCGTGAGATTTAGAGAAGGCCCAGTCGCATTTGTCGGCGATATGCGGAAGATGTACCACGCCATAAAGATATCAGTTCTAGATCAGCACACTCATAGATTTCTTTGGCGCGACGTGTCGCAGGATAGTGGGACAGTACATACGTCATGACGTCCGTATCGTTCGGTGACAAACCTGCGGGAAATATCGCCACAGTTGCTCTACGCAAAACAGCGGAAATGCAAAAAGATGATCTTCCGAATGCGTCAAACAGCACGAGAGACAACCGGTCAAATTGACGATTTGTTCAAGGTTGGTGGATTCCAAATCAAGCATTGGATCTATTCATCAGAGAATGTGAACGATGACAGCGCAAATAGATCACTGGGAAGCAAGTCGGTATGCGAGAAGCAGATACAAAATACTGGGACAGCATTCTCTGAAGGGGATGAACAGAAAGTTCTTGGTGTACGCTGGGATTCAAATAGGGACGAATTTTGTTTCAAAACGCAACTTAACTTTACCCCAAAAATTAAGAAACTACGAAGTGGACCAAATCTCACTCAAGAACAAGTTCCAGCGCTTATTCCGCCCATACTAACGAAACGGATGGTGTTGTCGCAGATTAACGGAATATACGATCCACTTGGACTCGCAGCCCCATTCACCGTGAGGGCAAAGATACTTATGAGACAATTGTGGATAGGAGAATCGAAAGACCTGACCTGGGACGATCCATTCCCCTCCTCGTTAAGAGAAGAGTGGTTGCGATTTTTCATTGAACTTTTCAACATCGAAAAAGTCACGTTTAGAAGGTGCGTGAAACCAGTCGGTGCTGTTGGCAACCCAGCCCTCGTGATGTTCAGTGATGGATCAGACCAGGCATATGGTACATGTGCGTATGTGAGATGGCAGCTTGAAAATGGGACTTTTGGTACCAATCTTCTAGCAGCAAAGAGCAGGGTCACACCAATTCGAAAGACGACAATCGTTAGAACGGAGTTGAACGGAGCGTTGCTTTCGAAAAGGCTTAGTGTTTTTATCAAGAAAGAATCTCGCCCCATTTTCGAGAAAGAATATTTTTTCGTGGACTCGGAGATAGTTAGAGCAATGATTCAGAAAGATTCGTACGGATTCAACACCTATGCAGCCGTGCGAATTGGCGAGATTCAAGAAGGAACTTCTCCAAGTGATTGGCATTGGATTGAAGGGAAACTCAACATAGCTGACTGGATAACGCGGGGGAAGAATCCGAGCGAGCTTGACAAGAACAGTCTTTGGCAGACAGGGCCAGACTTTCTTCACCTGCACGAATCAGAATGGCCAATCAAGAAATTTGTATTACCGGATCACCTGCCTGAAGAGACCAAGGCGGCAATGATCATTAAAGTTGAGTTGAGAATCATACTGTCTCATGCCATTGATATTCTACGATTCTCTTGCTATTATCGTTTGCTTCGGGTGACTGCACGCATTACAGCTGTCGGCAAAAGACCCCGAAACCATCGTTGAAAAATCTTGCTGCACCAGTCGAAGCGGAATGTGTACAGAATACTGAGCTTCTTTGGATCAAAGAAGCGCAAAAATCGTTGCAGCAGCGCTTCGAGAAAGGAAAGTTTAATCGACTTTGCGCACGAAAGAGAAAAGATGGAATCATCATTGTTGGTGGGAGAATCCCAAAGTCGTCTGAATCTAGTTACGATGAACAAGAATTGATCCTGATGCCGTTCGATCATCGAGTGTCTCGTTTGTACGCGGAACGTGTCCACAGTAGAGGTCACAATGGAGTATCCACCACTATGAGCAAGATTCGAACCCGCTTCTGGATCCTGAAGCTGCGCAAGATGGCTAGGGCTATCAGAGAGCAATGTGTCATCTGTCGCAAAAAGCAGAAAATTTTGGAAAGTCAAGTGATGGGAACATTGCCGAAAGAACGTGTGACCCCTGCACCACCGTGGAATTCAACTGCGGTAGACTTTTTCGGACCATTTCAGACGAGAGGTGAGACAAACAAGCGTTCCCGGGGTAAGGCGTATGGTGTGCTCTTCAACTGCATGGCTAGCAGAGCTGTTCATGTGGACATAGCAACCGATTACAGTACGGAAGGTTTCCTAATGGTTCTACGAAGATTTGTCTCTATCCGAGGGTACCCGAAGCACATGTTTTCAGATTGTGGGTCTCAACTTGCGTCTGCTAATAAGGAATTAAAATCCATAATCGAAGGTGTTGATCACGAACGACTTCGAGAGTTTGGCGCTGAGCATGGGTTAGAGTGGAAGTTTGCAGCTGCTGATGCTCCATGGCAAAATGGTTGCTCCGAAGCACTGGTGAAGTCTGTGAAGGGCGCAATGAAAGGGGCGATTGGGGATCAGGTATTGATGTTTTTCGAGCTACAGACAGTCTGTTTTGAGGCCGCCAACCTAGTAAACGAACGGCCAATTGGTACTCATCCGACGAGTCCCAGCGACGACACATATCTTAGCCCGAATCACTTGCTTCTCGGTAGAGCGTCGGCAAGAATTCCCAGTGGACCATTTAAGGAAACGAAGAACAAAAGGTTGCGCTTTGAATTTGTGCAAAGATTGGTGAATGCGTTCTGGAAACGATGGATCCGTGATTATTTCCCGAGCCTATTAATACGACAGAAATGGCATGTTGATAAACGAAACGTGTGTGTCGGAGACGTTGTTATGATTCAAGACTCGAACAGTATTCGTGGACAATGGAAAGTTGGTCGAGTGTCGAAAGCCTTGGTTGAAGACGATGGAAGAGTACGCAGGGTCGAAGTACAGTACAAGTGTTTGCCAACGAAAGAGACAAAGGTATACAAAGGACAAGCTTATACGACAATCGAAAGGCCTGTGCAAAGATTGGTTGTAATTGTTGCGGCAAACGAATCGTTTGAAAGAGACTAATACCTTGGTTCGCAATAATTTGCTGCCCGGAGTGTTTTGATCAGATAAGTTTGGAATTGCGAATTTGGGACTGGGAATAGATTTTCCCTCCAAAAGAAAACATTAGAATAATTAATTAGTTTTGGTATGCATGCTAGCTTGTAGGTTGAAATTTATATCTCCGTTGAGAACTGTTTGGACTGGTTTATTCTCCGTTGAGAACTGTGGAAGCTGTCTCCGGCGAGACATATATACATGACTTGGACTTATGAAAGCCCATAGTGTAAGTACGTTAAATAATGCGTCATTTGGCCTGTTGTAATGTGGGATTAGGGGTAATTATTTATGTAAATTCATATTTTGTTCGTAGGTTCGAAACCTTATTACGATACTGTTTACGATATTGTGTGCCTCATTTAAATTGACGAAACAGAGATTATTAAAGAAAGCATAGATAACAATGTTATAGACAACATTATATTGGCGACGAGGATCGTTTCATATACAAGTACCTCAAATGGCGACTAGCTTACCAGAATTTGCTTCTTTTGACGCCGAGAATCGGGAAAATATCGAAATTCGATGGCAACGATGGTTCATGCGATTCGAAAATCTACTGATTGCACTCGATATAAAAGACAAGAAAAGAAAACGAGCGTTATTATTATACTATATCGGTGAAAGTACTCTAAATATCTTTGAAACACTGCCCGAGACAGGCACAGAAGACGACTATGACGAAGCGTGTCAAGCTTTAAATGAACACTTTAAACCTCGCAAGAATACATCGTTTGAAATATTCAAGTTCAGGAAAACAAACCAACTTGTTGACGAAACTCTCGATCAATACCATGTACGACTCGTCCAGAAAGCTAAGTACTGTGAATTCTCAAACTTAGATACTGAGATAAAAGCTCAAATTGAGCTAGGGACCAATTCCAAACAACTTCGACGATATGCTTTCCGTAAACCAAAACTGACTTTGGCTGAACTCTTAGATTATGGACGGACACTTGAAACTGTTGAAGAAGATGCGAGCGGAATTGAGCAAAATATGAATGAAACACCAATGAAAGATATCCACGCCGTACGACGAAATCCGGCTGCTACAACGCCTAAGAAAATATGTTTCTTTTGTGGATTAAGCTGGCCACATGTGAATGTTTGTCCGGCAAAAGGGAAAACATGCAACCATTGTCACAAGCAAAACCATTTTGCACGATGTTGTAAATCGAAAATTTCAGCTGGACAGCGTGAAAGTAAGTTTCCTCAGAAATCCAATGAACGAAGATCCCAAGTGAAACAAATAGACAAACAAGGTACGAATTCAAGCTCAGATGAATATGTTTACACAATAAAAAAACAAACCCCTGATACTAACAAAGTCGTTTTAACATCTATCACCACTTCACCAACAGGAGAAACTGTTAATGAAGTTAACAGTGACTGTCGAAAACGAAATTTCTACACCCATATTAAAATCAATGACATAACTATTCGTGTAAACATTGATTCTGGTGCCAGTGTAAATATTATCGATAATACTAGTTTTGAGAAATTAACACGCCAGAACAACATCCACTTGATGAAAAGCAAAATAAAACTTTTTGCTTTTGCCACTAACACACCCCTCGACATCAAAGGGTATTTCGAAGCTTCAGTTGAATCAGGAACAAAAATTACCACAGCCCAATTTTATGTGATAAACACTGATGCTGGATGTCTAATAAGTGGAAACACTGCAATTGATCTTGGGTTATTAAAGCTAAACAAAATTGCATTTGTTACATCTCGACCTGAAACCCATCAACCTAAGAAAAATGCTCCAACAAATAGCAAGTCTAGACCTAAAAGATTGAGAACCTTATTTTCGAAATATGATAATTTATTCCAAGGAATCGGAAAGTCCCAGATTACAAAGTCCATTTACACATTGATAAAACTGTCCAACCCACAATTCAAAAAGCCCGCAGAATCCCATTTACAATGAGAACCAAACTATCAGAAGAACTGCGACGTCTTGAATCATTAGATATTATTGAAAGTGTAACAGGCCCCACGTCGTATCTCCCATTGTTTGTTTCCCAAAACCCAACAATCCCGACCAAATTCGTCTTTGTGTTGACATGCGTATACCCAATAAAGCCATTTCACGGGAACGTCACCCTTCTCCCACAACTGAAGATTTAATTGAAAAACTAAATGGTGCTGCACATTTCTCAAAACTTGATCTAAGCTCTGGGTACCATCAACTAGAGTTGGATGAAGCTTCGCGTGACATAACTACATTTGCAACTCATGAAGGTCTCAAAAGATATAAACGTTTGAACTTTGGCACAAATAGTGCTGCTGAGATATTTCAAAATGTCATTCAGACCACATTCCAAGATATTGACGGTTGTATAAACATAAGCGACGACATACTAGTTTTTGCCAAAACAAAACATGAACATGACATGACATTAGAATCTGTTCTACAGCGTGCTAATGAAAAGAATTTAAGATTCAACGGTGACAAATGTGAATTTGATAAACCAAGCATCACGTTTTATGGTCATGTTTTCTCGAAGCAGGGTATATCCCCATGTCCTAAAAAAATCGAAGCGATCAAGTCTCTAAAACCTTCAGCGAATGTTTCTGAACTTCGTAGCTATTTAGGAATGATAACATATTGCGGCAGATTTATTCAAGATCTTGCAACACTGACTGCCCCATTACGTAAACTTACAAAGAAGGACATAAAATACGAATGGAAAGAATCACAACAACGTGCGTTTCATACATTACAAGAAAGATTGAACGAAAAAACCACTTTATCATACTTTGACCCTTCAAAAGACACCAAGCTCATTGTAGATGCCTCTCCCACTGGCCTAGCGGCAATATTAATACAAAATACCCCCAGCCAAAATGACGAAACTGTCGTTGCATATGGCAGTCGTGCTCTTACAGAAGTAGAACAAAGATATAGTCAGACAGAACGCGAGGCATTGGCAATTGTTTTTGGCTGCGAACATTTTCGTTTATTTCTCTGTGGAATTCATTTCACAATCTATACAGACCATAAACCATTAGTATCGATTTTTCAGAATCCAAATTCACATTGCCCTGCACGACTAGAACGCTGGCGTTTACGCCTACAGTCGTACAATTTCCAAATTCACTATCGCCCTGGCCACGATAACCCATCCGATTACATGTCAAGACACCCAATGAATACGACCTCAGTGACATCACAAGACAGTGAAAACTCTGAATATTATATTCAGTTCATTGCGGAATCAACAACCCCAAAAGCAATGACCCTTCAACAAATCAGAGAAGCAACACAAAATGACCCAACTTTGCAACATGCTGCATACATAATACAGCAAAACAAATGGCATACGTTAGACACCACAACATTTTCCAAAGACACAGACATTGATATTCGTGAACTACAATACAATACAATACAATAAAATTTATTAGGTTCCCCGAGAGGATCTTCATACCTAATTTACACGATTAAATATCTGAAATTATACAATATTATAAACTAGTTATTTATATACTATAAAATTAAGCAAGCCAACTTCTAAGAAGATGGCTTCTCAAACTACGTTTAAAACAGTTCAGGCTGGCTAAATCACGGAGCTCAGATGGCAATGAGTTCCATATCACCGCGCCTCTATAACAAAATGAATTCTGAGCCAGTGCAGTGCGGCACTTTGCTAGATTCAGGTCATTGGTGTTCATTGTATTATAATTATGAATGTCTGATCTTTTTTGAAACATATTAATCAGGTAATTCGGTGCTTGATTATTCATGCACTTAAACATTTGAACACCGTCTCTAAGTCTAAAAGCCTCGGATACTGGAAGTAGTTTTAACTCTTTGAGGGTGGGTGTAATATGTTCATATTTTCTCTTTCCTGACAACAGGCGGGCTGCAAAGTTTTGCACTTGTTGAAGTTTAGCAAGATTTGATTTGCTAGTACCTGACCATACCGAGGAGCAGTAGAATAACTTTGTAAAAACAAGCGAGTTAATTACAATGAAAAGTGTAGATTTGTCAAATAGGTGACGAATTCTACTAATCATTGCTAACTTGCCCATAAGATCGCTTGTTAAAGCGTCTGTGTGATCGTTAAATGATAAATGTTTGTCTATTATCATTCCGAGGTCCTTCACCGAATCAACGACAGGTAATTCCTTCCCTAGAAACGTTATCGGCGGGATAATTGTCTTCGCTAGCATTCTATTAGAGCCAAACACACAGAACTCTGTCTTACCAGGATTTATAAGAAGATGATTCTCACAGCACCATGAAGCAACTCGATTCAAATCGTGTCTAAGGTTATCAAGGCCTTCATTTACATCCTTATTCGAAAATGAGATATAAAGTTTTGAATCATCTACATAAGATTCAACGTTGCAAGTCTGACAGACTGATGGTAAGTCGTTTATGTAGAGATTAAACAACAGGGGTCCCAGGATAGACCCCTGTGGAACTCCATGTTTGATTGGTAAAGAATCCGAAAGAGAGTTTTGAATACGTACGCATTGTGTTCTGTCAGTTAAGTAGCTTTGAAACCAAGCCAAGGTTAGATCAGGAATATTGAACTTTCGTAGTTTATCTAGCAATCTCCGATGGTCAATGCTATCAAACGCTTTACTCAAGTCCAACATAAGAACGGCTGTCACCTTTTTCTCGTCGATAGCCCTGTAAAGTTACTCCGTAATATCAAAGATGAATTAACTGTATCTAATGATAAGAACATCATTTTACGAGACACACGCATCGTTATTCCAAAAAGCTTGCGAGCAGATGCCATACGTTTAGCCCATGTTGGCCACCAAGGCATAGTTAAAACGAAGAGCCTAATGCGAGAAAAAGTTTGGTTCCCCTTAATTGATTCACTTGTCAAATCTGCTATCGACAGCTGTATACCATGCCAAGCCACTGGACGTCCAAAACCACCACAACCTCTGTTAATGCGCGAAATACCCAAGGAGAACTTTGACACTGTATACATTGACTTTTTGGGTCCGTTACCAAGTGGAGAAACACTCTTTGTCCTAATAGATGGACGCTTCCGATATCCGGTAACAAAAATTATGAAGAAAACGGATGCTCCTCACCTAATTCCATGTTTAGACGAGATCTTTGCCACATTTGGATTACCAAAAAAAGTTATCTCGGACAATAGTCCACCGTTTCAGAGCAAAGAAATAAAGAAATTCATGGATGACAATGGCATTCAACATAAAACAATCACTCCATTATGGCCACAACAAATGAAAGCGAAACTTTCATGAAACCACTGATGAAAGCCATTCGTACTGCTCATCTGCAAAAGCAAAACTGGCGCCGCACCATGCAGGAATTCTTATTAAATTACAGAGCTACTCCCCATACCACAACTCAAGTTGCACCGGCCACACTCATGTTTGGTAGGAACACCCGCACAAGATTACCTCAGACTGACACTAAAACCGACAAGAATGCCCTTGATCATTCCGTCGAACAACGCGATAAAGAACAACGACAACGCATGAAAGAATACGCAGATCGACGGAGACAAAGTAAGACGACAACCATGAATATTGGTGATTATGTACTCGTAAGACAACAAAAGCACAACAAATTTACCCCGAATTTTGATCCCAAACCGCTACAAATAATCACAGTAAAAGGAACGATGATTACTGCAGAAAGACCAGGATTCGCTATTACTAGAAACCCATCGTTTTTCAAACCTATTAAAACAACTGGGCTGTCTTCTGAAGATGAGGAGGAAATGGAAGATAGTGATGAACATGAAGAACAACGTGATATTGGAGACAATGAAAATAACAACAATCACAACCGAGATGAACAACAAAATCTAGAACGAAAATATCCAAGGAGAGAACGAAGAAGGCCGAACTATTATCATTAAGCCTTATTGTAAATAGAAAGGGCTGACAGTGACAGTCATATAACTTGTTGGACAATCAACAATTTGTCTTAGCATTCATATTCTGTTTTGTTAAATACCAACACATAGATATAGTGGTAGATGATTAACAACGAACTGCAATTGTGAAAAACTCTGAGAAAAGGAGGGATGTAGTGTCTAGCATAATTAACATAATTAACATTAATTAGGGACCACGAGGAAGTAAGCAAGATGGCGATATAGATGCAACTGTAAGATTATGTTCTGTTAGAGATTATTAAAGAAAGCATAGATAACAATGTTATAGACAACATTATAATAGCAACAGACAAGGAAACATCTGTATTTAAATTCACTACTTATTTTTTATCCAGACACAAACTGATGTAAAAATTGTTTCAGGTTTGGCTTAGTTATAGCCTTACATCGGGCTATTGCATTTAATATCCGTACCCCCTCCCCCCTGTCGAGGATCCTGGAATTCTTCAGGGGTAAAGGGTTTTGAGCTTGGAATACTTCAGGGGTAAAGGGTTTTGAGCTTGGAATTCTCCAGGGGTAAAGGGTTTTGAGCTTGGAATTCTTCAGGGGTAAAGGATTTTCAGCTTGGAATTTTGGAATTCTTTGAACATGGGTAAAAGGTTTTGAGCTTGGAATTCTTCAGGGGTAAAGGGTTTGAGCTTGGAATTTTGGAATTCTTCAGGGGTAAAAGGTTTTGAGTTTGGAATTCTTCAGGCTATGAAAAACATGTATCCTCGACAGGGGGTGTACGGATATTAAATGGAATAGCCCATCATGCTGTCAAGTGGCAATCATTTACAAAGCAAGTCTATAACCAAATGTTTTACAACCTGAGGAACTTCTTAAATAAATTATTCTATAATTTATACAGATGCTACAAAAACACCTGGCATCTTAAATTTACATAGGTAACTCCATTTAAAAAAGCACAACAACCACGGGCTACAACATGTTGAGTGTTGACCATTATGTACTGTGTTGTTTAAAGGACATTGGCAACGAAAATTTTTATTGGCTATTTCAATCCTACTTGACAACCTAACTATGAAAATATTATCATTTCCTTCTCGAACATTTTACTCTAGGAGTAAAATGCATGCAAACTTTGTGTGTCGCCGCCATCTTGGAAAAAATGACCTTCGAAGGTCAACGAATTTTGTGACGTCATTAGATGGGTAGCACCAAAACTACAAGTGAGAATTCTATTGCGTGCGTGTCGTGTTAGCCAAAAATATGTCGTTTTGAGCGTTATACTGGCCAATACTTTTCGCAATCAAACAAGAGAAGCCTACACTATCAGATAAAAACATATCGAGCGACTGGGAAAGCAAGGAATGGCGCAATTTACAATACAGGTAATTGATCATAAAATATTGCATTAGTGTTTGCCTTGTTTACACTCGAATTACTGCGTTTATTTAACACGGACTAGGACTGATATACTATCAGAAATAGTGTTACAAATAAGGAACATACTTGGTAAAACGTTTCTGCCCTTCGTTTAGGCTCAAAGTGCACTACGCGTGGTAATACTCGGTATTGTTTTATAGTCATGAAATTGTGTTTACCCATCTAATGACGTCAGATAATGTTGCTGTGGCACAAGTGTTTATTTTCAAAATGGCGGACTACTGTTGAACTTTTTATTACATTTTCTCAACAACTAAGTGCGACAAACCGGCCAAAATATAAAATTAAGTATTCCGTAAGCATACCTAATAGATATAAGCAATAAAAATTTTGGTTGCCAATGTCCTTTAAAGCTTCAAGTTTTTAACATAAGCAAAAGCTGTCACTCGATCTAAAGTCCTGGCAAAAAAATTGTCAATTTAACAAAACAACGACAACGCGTGTTATGTGCGATGATTTCATTTAGCTAATTCTTTCATAGTTTATATAATAAATATACTCATACTGTAGATCGATAAAAAGTCATTCATAAATACCATGCCATTTTTTAAGTATATACCCAACGTCCCAATAATTTTTCACACGATTAATATTATATCCTTCGATTTATATTGTTTGATTTCGCATTCCAAATCTGATAAACATTGATAATTCTCTCTTCGCGTATGTCCACGCGTAATTCTCTCAAAAAACACGCATTAATAGTGTCGGCAGCATTGATGATCACGGCAGCCAATCAAACAGGGCCGGATTAACGTTCCGCGGGGCCCGTGGCATATTACTGGAGCGGGCCCCCTTGACGCCCCCCCCCCCCCAACCGCCCAACGGCATTTTAGACCCTGAATTCAGTAAGATTTGAAAATATCCTTTTGTATTTCATGCGTTGAAAAGTTTCCTGTGTATTTACAAAAAAAGAAAGAATTATACATCAATAATTTGATCGAACTGAAATTCAACCCAGTTTATACCATTAACATTATCATTATTTACAGGGGAAAAATAGCTAAACATGATAGCGTCCATATAAACTTCTGCAGTCTTCCACGAAATTCAGCGATCTTTTAGTATTTAACAGTTTGCTGCAAATTTTGAAATTTTCTGAACCCTATGATTTTCTGGCCTCGCGATCGCTTTTTGGAGCCCCTTGCCCAAAGAAGGAACAAAACATTTTGTGTTTGCGGGCCTACTTTTGGAGCATCGCCTTTTTTAATTTTGGGGCCTCGTGGTTTTTTTTAGTTTGGGGTTTTGTTTCATGTTGGGGACCTTTGGACTCTTTAGGGCCCCGCGCTGTTTGGATCCCGCGCTAAAACAAGGAAAAAATCGTTTGGGGTCCCGCACTTTGGGGCCTCGATTCTTAAATTTTCGGGGCCTATAACTTTTTCTGGGGACCTTGGGCTCTTTGGGGCCCCGCGCTGAAACACTAAAACAGGGAACAAAAAGAAAACGTTTGGGGCAGATTTTTTGGGTATACTTGAAAGGGAGGGGTAAAAACTGATCTAAATATAAATTATTCAAGACCTAGAACGCTTTCAACTGAGAGGCAAACATCTGGTTGCTATGGGCGTTGCTAAGTGTAAATTTATCGAATTTGCTAAATTTTCAGGGTTTTTAGGTATATTTGAGCAATAAAATGATACAAATATGATTAAGTAGGGTTTAAAGTTTGTATTTTTTCCATATTTGAAAAATGGCAAATTTCACTCAAAACACCACTTTGCGTTGTGTAAGACCACCTTAATCTAGCTCATGATGTTTTACCCTGGTGATCACAGGGTCTTTTTTAACATACAAGCTGGGGGGGGGGCAAATGCCCCCCAGTAGTCCCCCCTTGTGCCCCCCCCACGAAATCACATTTTGCCCCCCCCCCCAGGAAAAGTCCCTTTTCCCTAAAACTATAGAAACAAACCAGCGAAGATTAACAAATACATAAACATACAAATCCTTTGTCCTTGTTTAACAAAATCGATTTAAATTGTTACTAAGTAATGATAAATTATTGTTAATATTTTTTTTTATTTTTTGGATGCTCAGAATGCAGGAAATAGCATTTCCGGCCGGGTTTCAAATTTCTGAGGATTATCCCTCTAATAAGTAATGATAAATTACAGTTAATATTCTTTTTACTTTTTGTGCATTTTTTCCATCTTTTATTTCAAGTACAAGTGTAGTTAGCACAAATTTTAGAGCAATTTTGGATGCTCAGAATGCAGGAAATGGCATTTCCGTGCTTCAAATTTTCTGGGGGAGTACTCCCCCAGACCACCCCCATTCATGCGTGGTATATTGGCTACACACGTAGCCTTCAGCCATTGCTATCCCCCTCTAATATATTATCTCACAGAGAAGTCCCTTTTCAAAAAATGCCCCCCCCCCCCATGGGAAAATCCTTAAAAAAAGGTCCTGCTGGTGAATACGATTCAACCATGATTAAAAAATATATATGATGTGTTACTACTTTGCAATGCAACATTTGTCCTACCATAGCCCTAACCCATGGCCCGTCTTCATACAGCGAAACGATTTGAACACAGGGCTTTTCAAGAACTTGTCTGGGAGGTTGGCATCTACAAAAAGGGACCATACTATACTGAGTGTGGAGAGATAACAGATGGTTGTTGGTGACAAATGTTTTGGTGTGGTATCGTATGTTCTAGTAGGGGGGTCAGGGGGTATTCTCCCCCAGAAAATGTTTTGTATTCCTCCACCCTTATGACTCAGTGAGTGAAATGTGAGCATTTTCAGTAACAGATTTTTGGATATACAGCGTTACATTGTGCTTTGATAGACCGAATCTGATCAGTTAAGTGTACTTGCACGGTATGTTTATGTAAATACCACAACTGCAGGGTCACTCAGGGGGGTAGGAAGTTAGTGGGCCCGACTTAGTGGGCCCGACTCAGAACTCTAGACATGGTATTTAAGTTCAAAAACTTTTTTGACCCCCCCCCCTTTCTCTGTGTTAAAACTTTTTTGAACCCCCTATTTATAAGGGTAAAACTTTGTTTGCCCCCCCCCCCCACCCATAAATAATGACCACTCCCTAAATGGCATCTCTTGTAGTATAAGCAAAGCCCTGCAAATATGCAGCTCAAGTCTCAACTAAGGGTCAATTTACCAAAAAAATCGATTTCTAAATTTTGAACTTCCCTTTCTCAAAAATCCCGAGATTGACTTAATGACTTTTAAAACTGATAAAAACATTTAAAAAATCCAATGACCCAACTGAATAACTGATTAAAAAAAAATTGCTAACGCATGCGCTGTCGTTCCATGCTTGGCGTGTCAAGAGACTGGTGCCGAAACTTTTTGAATTAAAAATTTCGTTATTTTTGGCGCCTTGTTCGTCTTCCTTGTATTGGAATTTCATCGTTCATTTTTGCTACGAAAAGAGAAGATAGATTAATTTTTGTGGAAGGATGGGAGATTGCACAAGTCCGTTACAGGTTAGTGGAGGTTTGCAGTACATAGTTTGTATTTAAACGTGAAAATATACGTTTTAAGTTGTGATACGATTTGAGAAGTTTCGAATATGGCTTCAAGTTATTAACGAAATTTTTAGCAGCTAAGATTAA